CGAAACACCAGGGACCAGGGAAGAGAGAGCAGCGTCCTGGTCAGGTGGCTCCGATAAGGGGGTCACGTGTGCTTCGTGCTTGTGAGGAGGGGCCCTTCGGGGTTGCTGTTTTGAAGTGGCAGGTGGGTTGGCCCTTTAGACAGAGGGGTGCGGACACCAGGTGGGCACACCCTCCCCCCAAAGCGGTGAGCACTGAGTCTGTGCTGACGTCCAGCTCCTGGAGGTCTCGGCCTGCGCAGTGCGGCCACCAGAGGGCCCCGTCTGCAGAGTGGCCGGCGGCACAGGCCTCCCAGGGCAGCTGGGTGCCCACCTGCCCAGGGCCATCCTCAGCCCCGCACTGACCCTGCTCCAGGGGAACCAGGTGTGGTTCCACCCAGCCCAGTGCCTGCCTGGGGAGGCGGCCGAGGCGGTCGCCCTCTGCTGGCCAGTTCCCGTTACTGCAGAAGGTAGAGCCGTCCCTGCCACCCAGCCCGTGCCCACCAGGAGCCCGCCCAGCACCTCCTTCCCGTTTCACAGCCAGAGCCAGGCCTGGGCTCCCTCAGCCGGGACGGAGCGGCTGGACGGGAATGGGGACGGGCCCTGCCGCTGATGTGTGTGGCCCCCGTTTTCACGAACCCGGGAGGCTCCGGGGCCCTCTGTGCAGACAGGTTGCAGGAGTGAGCGCCCCAGAGACACCTGAAGAGACAAACAGGCAGAAAGGCTTTGTGAAGGGGCGTGGAGGCCCGGCCCCTTTCCCCTGGCTGCCTGCTGGGGGCGCCCACACCCTCCCGGAGGGCAGGGCAGGGCTCCAGGGCTCCTGCTGTGGGGAGGTGAGACCCGGGCGCTGGACTATCAGAGCTGGAGAAGTGCACCTTGTTTTCTTGTGAGGGAAACTGAGGCACAGGGAGGCCGAGGGACGTTGTCTGTGTTGTGTGGACCTCGCACTGCCCACACTGGTGACGTGCAGCCCTGGTTATGCCACACACAGTCCAAGCTGTCGTCTCTCCTGCAACACCCTCCCTGGCCTGATCTGACCTCGGTCTCCGGCGTCCTGTCCCAGGCTGGTGAAGCGGGCAGTGCCCACGGCGCAGTGAGTGAACAGTGAGTGAATGAGTGCACGAACCCATAACCGCAGAGGCCACCAGGGGCTGCTGTGAGGGGCATCATGGGAGGGGCAAGGACCGGGCTGAGTCCTCCCGCCGCCCTGGGCGCACCTGATCTCGGGGCCTCGTCCCAGCCCTTTCCTTCCTTCTGACTCATCCTGGAGTTTTTAATTTGCTATTTAATTTGTTTTTAAAAAACATATTTTTATTTATTTCAGAGAGGAAGGGAGACTCACCGAGAGAGAGAGAGAGAGAGAGAGAGAGAGAGATCAATGATGAGAGAGAATCATCAATTCGCTGCCTCCTGCACGTCCCACCCTGGGGATCAAGCCAGCAACCCAGGCATGTGCCCTGACTGGGAATGAAACCGTGACCTGCTGGTTCATAGGTCGACACTCAACCACTGAGCCACACAGGCCAGGCTAATGTGGTTTTAAGTAAAAAATAAAAATGTACATCATTGGTATTCTGAATACATACTAATAAAATTAATAGTAATAAAATAATAAAAAATTTGAATTTTATTCTTCGTCATTATATTGTGTGACACCAGTTTTAAATGCAAAGCTTTGAGCTCACATGAGGCCTCACCAAGATCCCAGAATGTGTGTTCTATAGTTTGCACATGCAAATGCATTCTGTTCTCACCAGAACAATGAAAAGACTGAGAGAGAGATAGTAAAACAGTTGTTGTAATTGTGGTAAAATACAAGTAAAAAAATTTACAGTGTAACCATTTCTAAGGGTGCAGTTCATTTGCACAAAAGTTCAAATTG